CCATCTGGTGCTTCCTGGAGTCCCACCACCTCAAACACGCCCTACCCTGAGCCCGTCCTCTGGAGCCTTCCTTACCCATCCCAGGCCCTCGGGGGGAAACCCCTCCATCCATGCCCAGAGCTGTGCTTTGGCCCTGGGCTTCACACGACCATCACTGGGTCATTGGACTTCAGTGTTTTCCCCAAGTCAGGGTCACCTAGTCTGAAACGCACTGTCTGTGAGAATCAGCTGTCTGGATCACCTGGTTTCGCTTTCCACAGCCTTCCTAAATTATGTGTTGCCTCCCCAGCAATTTGCTCCAGCACATGGCTTGAAGGTGAAACGCACACGTGTGTTTGTGCACCCTCATCTGTGCAGACGCACAGCCCAAAGCCAGCTGCAGAGAAAAGGCGTCTCGGAGGGGGACACGCTGTCAGAGACGTTGTATCAGCGCACCCTAGACGGCCTTGTGCGTGACCGTGCTGCGCCCTGTGGAGACAGTTTTCACACCTCCCTTCGCAGGAAGTGTCGTGGCTACACTCTCTCAGGCACAGGGCCCCCAGAATAAAGGTATCACCTGAGGTCTCAAAGGTGAACTGAGGGTGTCAGGCTTTGAAGTGACAGTGCTTCTGATCCCGCCTTCCCCAGACTTCAAAGCACGGAGGGCCACATGATGTTGAGACTGACTGAAGGTGACACCCGCTAGTCTCCCGAGGTCCTCCACAGGTGACACCACCCTTCTCTGGCCGCCTACGGAGGGAACCCGAATCTCTCAGGGGAGATTCTCTGAGGCTCTCCTCAGCTCCTCATAAGTGAATTTTGCTAACCTGGACGATGTGAACTGCTGGGATCTGGCAGTTCACACCTTTCTCCCGAGTTCCCCACAATCCTGAGCCTGGGTGCTGAGGGCTGATGGGGACATCCTCCCCTCATCAAGGTGCCTCCTGAAGCAGCTTCGCAAGGAGGGCGCGTCCTGCAGGCTCCTGGCCCGGGAGGGAATGGTCTTGCCTGAATGGGGGGCAGAGGGACGCCTGTTTTGCACTTCGAGCTCCTGGAGTCCATCTCGCCCTGCTATCCCCACTCCCTCAAAGCCCACCTGGGGCTCTGTGTCCTGGGCACACCAGCTCTGGGGGGGGAAAAGTGGGAGGTGGCTGTGAGGGTAGTTTCAGGGGGTGCTCCCTCCAAAAGTCACCACCGTTGTGGGCCCTGGAGTGCCCTGTCCTCCTCAGCAGTGGGGTTCTCACGGCAGCCCCAGCCGGCCTTTCCTTGGCCCTGGAAGGTTGCCATCCGCCGTGCAGGCGACACTCCAGGTAGGTGGAGGAGGGTCTACGTGGGGGTCCCCACGGCTCCTCTGTGGGGCGTCTCCATCCGGAACTCAAGACTGTCCTCACACCGCACGGGGAGCTCCGCCTGATTCCCTTCCTCATGGGTCCATTAACCAAATCCTTTAAACCTCCGTGACCCTCTGCACTTGCCTACCAGGTCTCAGTCATGTCAAGAGTCTTTGCCATTACTATTCATCTGTGGTAACTTGCTACGAGGGTGTTATCTTACTATTCCAAATGTCCTAGTATTCTGTAGCAGCTGCACAGCATTAATATAATGACTTTCACCTGCATAGGGTCCCCACAGAGGTGACTCAAGAGAAACACAGTTGACAAATGCTGCTTGTGGACTGCCATTCGCCAAGTCAGATCCTCCCTGGGAACATGGCCTGCATGTGAGACGGCTCTTGGGTTAGTAGGAGATGGAGCAAGGGTGTCCCCATCAGCCCTCGGCACCCAGGCTGCTCAGGATTGTGGGGAACTCAGGAGAAAGGTGTGAACTGCCAGATCCCAGCAGTTCACATCGTCCAGGTTAGCAAAATTCACTTATAAGGAGCTGAGGAGAGCCTCGGAGAATCTCCCCTGGGAGAGTCAGGTTCCCTCCATAGGCGGCCGGAGAAGGGAGGTGTCACCCGTGGAGGACCTCAGGAGACTAGCGGGTCTCTTGTGTGGGGCCACCCAGTGTGTGTATAGGAAGCAGCTCGGTGTCCTGGTGGTGGTGGGACAAGACGGCAGGAGCAGGATGGGGTGGACCCATGCTGGGCGCGTGGGGTCTGCGGCCGAGTTGCTACCAGAGAGGACAGAGCACCCGGTGGGTGTCGGGCAGTGGCAACTGGGCCCCACGCGGTCTGGCTCCTGGCCACTGGGACAGGCCGGGCTGTGTCCTGAGGCAGGCCTGAGGGCCAGCTCCCTGCAGCCCCACGCTTGGTGTCCAGGTGGCTACTGAAGGGACCAAGATGGTTGGTCACCTAGCAGGGGCCATGGAGGGCCAGCTCTTCTGTGGGGCCAGTAAGTGTTGCCCAAGACAAGGTCATGCAGCATCATATGAAGCTATTTATTTGGCAAATCAGATTAATCACATCAGTTCTTTCCAATTAATTGTCCTGGTCTCACAAATGTACACACAACAGCTCTGTCTCAGGTTTTTCCAGACCGGGAGTGCAAATAAGGTCACACCATGAGCAAACAATGACCGAAACCCCCACTGGCTTTAGTAGCAGGAATTTCAGCTTTTTCCACCACTAAGTTCAGGATTCCCTGACCCTCCGGCTGCCACTTGCTTTAGGAGTGGGCCCTGATGCATCACACCCTACCTCAAACCCTAACACTGACCCTCTGCACCTCCCGTGCCGCTGGGCCGACGGCCGATCATGGGCCAGCTCTGGTTGCAGCTACTTGGGCCCAGACCCCGGACCCTCCCACAGAGCAGCCATCCTGGCCTGCAGCAGAGACCTGTGCCCACTCCACAGACCCTCAGGCCAGGCTGGGGCCCCACGGGGAGAGAGAAGAGGCCCCTCCTCCCCACAGTGTTTTGGATTGGTGAGGGGGTGCCCGAGGCCCACAGGTCCATGGTTGCCACATCAAGGACCTGCCCCAATAGTTACACAGCTCATGGGCCTAGACTCCCACCCTTCATAGTGATTCTCCTCCCAGGGATCTAGAGCCCTCTCTGTCACCTGCAGAGTCGTGCTGCACACGAGACAAGATTCTGTGTTTGAATATCACTGGGGATGGTGGGTGGTCAGGGTCCGCCAATCCCTTTCTCTTCGAAAGCCCATCCGGGCCGAAGCACATCAGTAGACACATGAAGGGCATCCCCAACTGTGCCAGGTGGGCTCCAGCAACTGATGCAAAGAGAGGCATTGGAGGAAGGGTGCTCCCACCACGGACTCTGACCTAAACCAGCCCCAAACGCCCTGCTGTATGTAACAGTGTGGCTCTGTCCGAGTGTCCCAGGTGGTGTCTGTCCAGGAGGGCCATGGGACAGTGTGGCCTATAGTCCAGGAGAGGAGTGTCCAGGGCCTGGGGCAGCTGAACAGGACTTGGCCTCACCTCTGGGTCTGCAGAGCCCCTGACTCGGAGGCTGCCAGTTCCCGGAGGACAGGCCTGGGGACGGGAGCTGCCGGCCCTGGTCCTCTGTTCCTGGTCAGGTCACACTCTTTTCCACCCTTCACTGACACTTTCTTCTTCACTCTTCCCTCCAGCCACCTGGGAGGAGGCTCCACAGAGCACGACCTGAGCACAGCAGAGGCAGCTCCAGACCTTCGGGGGCTCTCAGGCCAGCGGGGGAATCCACGCTCGGGCAGGAAGCAGCTCTGTGCGCCGCTGCCCTGCCCCAGCCCGCACTCCCAGCCACGCCTCCCTCTCCCCCTCCATAGGCAGGTCTGGGTTTTTGAGGGTTTTATCTAAATCTTCTCCCCCACACATACCACAGCCCCCCAGGCCTTCCGCCCCCACTTAGCAGCCAGCGCCTCTTACCCTCCAGGTAGACTGTGGTTGCTTTTCTTCCTAAAGACCTGCGCCTTGCTCACATTAAGTCTCACTTACTACTCATCCCACTCACAGCGTCATCATGCAAAACCACCCCGCAATTTATCCTTCTAATCATTTCACTCTCTGGAGCAGCTGAGTCATAGGGCGCTTCAGCTGTCACCGCGTGCTCTCTCTCTAGACCGTTAGAGAAGCCCATTGGAGCAGTGACTCAGTTGTTTACCGTTTCCACAGGAGCTGCCAGGAGCCCCCTGCTGTCCTTCTGTGCCTGGTTGCCTGGTTCTCTCCCTCCCAGCCACCAGGAAGGGACAGCTCCATGGGCAGTGCCACCAGTGCCGGCTGCCCAGCCAGGACTCAGGTGAGCAAGGCAAGCTAAGTGCAATAAACATCTCTCCAGTCCATTTGAGATGGAAAGGCAGTCTCATTCAGGATCTCCCCTCTGCCAGGGGAGCCCCCACTAACACTCCGTGTGGTGGACGCCCCAGTGGCAGCTCTTGGCCCGGTCCACTTCCAGCCCTTGGCCTGTCTCCCCCTTCCCCAGGTGTAGCCTGTCCCCTCATGGCTCCTGGGTATCACCCACAACCCCCTCAGTCCTCTGCAGCCTTCTCGTGGGCATAGAAAGGTTTGGCTGTCCTCATGTGCTTTTCTGAGGCCCGTAGGAAACCTGGGGCTAACCATGCCCACTAGCCCACCCCGGCCTCCCCACTTGCTGTCATCTCGGTGAGGGTGTTGGCCAACAGAGCTCTAGAAGGGACTGGAAAATTCAAGTCTGCCCCATCCTGAGATCTCCAAACTAAAAAGGAGCTTGATCTATTCCTACCACTCCATCTCTGCCCAAGACCCTCCGCCATAACTGGCTCTCTATTTCCAGAATCTTCTAGTCTAACAGAAGGACGGGGAGTTGGGAAACAGCCTTGTTCAGATGGTCTCATTCTCTTTCTCAATTATTCTGCCTGATACTTTTTGGACTTAGAAATCAAGAATTCACCTGGTACCAGGGCTCTTCAGAGGTCTCTGAACACTAGGTGATACATGTCAAGTTGTCTGGGCTTTGGCAAAAGATCTTTGGAGTATAACAAAGTTGGTGCTCAATGAGCATCAAAGGAAAAGGCCAGCAGGGAATGCACCACGATCGTCCCCCTGCATCAAAGCCCTCCGCTACCAGAATTGAAGGGGTCTCCTTCCTCTGAGCAGCGTGCCCTTCCCTTAGCCCCGGCTGATCGTGGTGTCTTGGAGGACCAGCTGGACCCTGGAAGGCCGGTGGGCCATGATGTCCATGCGGAATTCTTTGATGACAAAATAGTAGCAGAAGACATCCAAGCAGCAGTTGATGTTGGAGAAACACATGGACAGCTGCAAGAACAAGCTGATGTTCTGCTTGGCTCTGCACTCCACGATGAAGCCGTTCCTCACCAGGAACTGCAGGAAGAAGCCCAGGTGGACTGGCAGGAAGGAGACGACGAAGACAGCCAGACTGGCTGCGATGGTCCAGATGCAGGCTCTCTGCTGCACCCAGTCCTGGGTGCGGTCCCGGCGGCGCAGCAGGATGTGGATGCTCCTGGAGGAGCAGAAGCCCATGATGCCCATGGGAAGGAGGAAGCCGAACACCTCGAGGGGGAAGAAGACCTTGGCACTCCAGGTGCCATCGGACATGTTGTGGAAGCACGTGTACTTTTCCACTGTCCCGTGGAAGCTGTAGATGGGAACGCTCCCAGCCCACACCAGGGCCCAGATGGTGCAGCAGATCCCGAAGATCTTGCCCGGGGACCGGAGGCGGCTGACCAGGAGCGGGTACCGGATGGCCAGGAACCTGTCGAGGCTAATGAAACAGATGGTGAAGACGCTCCCGTACATGCTGACGAAGTAGAGGCACTCCACTAGCGTGCAAAGGGAAGGGAAGGGCGGCCGCACCTGGGACAGGGCCACCTTGAATGGGAGGGAGAGCACCAAGAGCAGGTCAAAGACCGCCAGGTTGATCATGTAGATGGAGGTGGCGGCATAATCGGGCCACCTCTTCTTCAGGAAGGTGCTGAAGCTGCGGATGGCCAGCAGGTTGAGGAGCAGGCCCAAGAGGAACGTGGGGGTGTGGACGGCCAGCTGCAGGGTCCTCATCAGCTCGTCCACGTCGCTGAACGAGCAGTTCCCGCTTGTGTCAGGCTGGTTCATGTTCCTTCCTGCAACACCAGTGACAGATCAGAGGGGCTCCTCTCACTCTCCTGGAGCAAAGGGTTCAAATGACTTCGTCAGGAATAATAAACATTCCCCCTGTACCACACAGCAGTTCATGCTCATTGAATCACAATTAGAAAACACACACAAAAGAAATAGTACCTCTAATCCCGCTGCCCAGATATAACCACTGCTACTTTTTGTAAGTATCATTCCAGACTCCTTCTCCCACTCTCTTTCTACGCACACACATTTTTCTTTTACAAAGTGAAACCATGCTGTGATGAACATCTGTGCCTCTTTTTCAATCAGAATCCCTTCTGTTGAAAGAAGTAACAACATGAACCCTGACCCACACTGGTTCAAGCAGAGACAGAATTTCACAGAATGGAAAACATGAAAACAAGGGGAGTGCGGCTTCAGGCGCAGCTTGATCAGGGATTCAAATGCTGTTTCCAGGACTCAGCTCCTCTTTATAGCTGTCCCCTCTGCCCACCCCCACCCAGCTTCCTGAAGGTTGGACGGAGTTGACTGCACCCCTGGCTGTGGGTGGTCGCCACATACCCCTGGACACAGTGATTAGCTCGTTCATTGGTTCAGGGACAGATATTTGACTTGCCCATGGCTTCCTTGCATCCCATTTGTGGGTATACCATAACACGTTTAGCCAGGAGCCTATTGATAAATGGGTAGGTTTCCTAGTGTTTTACTGAGAAACAAAACATTCCCCGATAAACATTCCTGTCACATCTCTTTTCTACCCAGCTGCTGCTAGCAGAATTCTCATTCTGCTGTTGATTCTCATCACTATGGCTTGCTTGGGAACCTGTGAGAAGAAAGGATTGGGTATTTTTAAGATCCTATACGGAACACCATTCTCAAGCCGTCTCTAACCCCTAATGAAAAAGAAAATGTGTGTGTGTGTGTGTGTGTGTGTGTGTGTGTATACACACATAGATGGATATTTATAGATATATCATCCGTTGAGCAATATCTGCTAAACATTTAACATACATTGCTTGATTTGGTGGCTTTTCAAAAAGATTCTATGCTTTCCTACGTGTTAACTTTTCTTGCGGGTTATGTCACAGGAGATATAGGAAAACGTACTTCCTCATATTTAAAACTTTCAACTCTTGTGGTCTGTGTGGACGGTGCCTCCTGGGTTCGTGCAGTGGAAAGTCTGGCAAGGCCAGTCCTGGACTCAGGCCCCCAGCGTAACTTCTCCTACTCTGGGACGCTCAGAACACATGCAAGCTGGCGGGCTGCCTCGTCCTCACTAGACGTGCTCAAATGGTCACCAGCCTACCTCAAAAAATAGCTACAATAACTTGGAACCACAAGATCAATTTCAAAAATGATGAGAAAAGCAGGCCAAAGTCCAATTCCATTCTAGGTGAAAACTGTTGTGACACCAAAGAGGAAGACAAAACCGGCTTGGAGAAGTCGCCTTTGAGCACAGAAATAGCAAAAAACCAAGAACCACAGAGATAAGAGCAATTAGAAGTTTATGTTTAGAGAGATCCAATGAGATTGCAAAAAAAAAAGAAATTTAGGTCATCTGTTCAGGGCTGGGTCCTGCTCAGGCAGTCTCCATGGATGAATCCATCATGTTGCTGGTGGTTCAAAGACTAGAACTAAAGTGGCCAAGAAAAAAAATCAGTGATACTCAACGACCAACTCAAACCTGAACCCAAAATATGGCTGAATTGGGAGAAAAAAACAAAGAATAACGAAGGGAGAAAAATGATCTCACAGCAAGCACTCAACCCAGGACGCTGCAACATGTCAAGGTGACCGCTGCAGGTGGACGTGTGGACAATAGACACGGTCTGCGAGCAGCGAGCAGCGTTTCCCAACTGAGCTCTCCCAAAAGTCACATTTGAGTTGCCGACAGACCGCGTGGAAACCTCTCAGATGGTGATCTGTGAAGCCAGAGGAAGCCCTCTGTGGACTGGCAAAAAGAAATGAGGTTGAAAAAATACTTCCAGCTGAGGCAGAGTGAGTGGAGAATCTGGAAAATTAAGCCTCTGAATTCCCTCTGAAAGTCCAAGGAAACCCTCTTTTTAAGATTCTTTAAAAAAAAATCAGGAACTTCACTGGGAAAAGATAAAAAGCCATACATGCACTGCAGGCTGCAGCAAGAGCCAAAACAGTCACCCTTCTCAAAGAAAGGTGCTAGTAAAAGGCAGGCCACTTGTAGTGGGGGCTGGCAACCTGCCCGCACTTGGCCTGGGGCCTGGGGCCATCGGCAGCTCCACTTCTGGCCAACCCAGGTGTTCACACTGATCAGTCGATGGTACTGTAGGTGGGTGGGTGGGAGGCTGAGTCCCATCAAGCCCCATGAGAAGCAGATGCTAAGATAGTATGAGCATCCAAGAGATTGACTAGGGGAAGTTGCAGAGAAGGATGAAGGGGAGTGGGAGCAGGAGGAGATGGGGAGCCTCAGACCACCGTGGGTCCAACCCTGTGGAGGGAGAGAGGGAAGGGACAGGTAGGAAGAGCTGCAGATGGCAGTGCAGACCTGAGAACGTGTTGGCCAAGCCACGGGGCATCCTCGAGCAAAGGCGGCCTGTTAGAAGGAATCGCCCATGACTACTACCTCTGCTGGGCTCGGTCACTGGCTAGGAGCAACCCAAGGAGGGTGTGGCCTCAGTGTCAATGTCGCCGTGGACCTGAAGTGGCACAGCTGTGCTGTCTGTCGCCAGGGCTCCCAGCAGCAGGTCCTCTGGAAGAGAGGTCTGAGCAACACACCTTCATGGCCACCACAGGGGCCCTGCCCATGCTTCCATTGATACCAGGATCTGGTCAGTGTCTCAGGCAGCAGTGGACACATTCCCAGTTTCCATTCCCACAGTACCCCCTGTGCTGGGCCAGCTCCCTACTGTCGCCAGCAGGGACGGCTGGGCCCCTTTGCTCCCTAGAATTTGAGTGAGGCCTAGTCCCAGCCCCCTTCAGGAATGAAATGGGATTGAATGGGGAAAGTTCACAGGTCAACAAACGGGGTCTGTGAATAGAGCCGAGGGCCCAAGACAACCTTCGCTGGTCACCAGCAGCAGTGTGGCGCCTGAGCGGTGGGGCCGAATTGAACAATAGAGAAAATGAGAACAATAAAGAAGATGAGATGCCATGTTTCATGCAAAATTTATGAAGAGAGCCACTCCCAGATGTCATGCTGACATCTCTAAATGTCACTAAGATACAGCCTTATAAACATTCATGAATAAACAACCCCAGTTCCTTAGAAACCTCTCTGAAAAAATAATTAACACCAGAAAAGGTTCGGGGGAAAGAATTTGGATGCAAGAATTTCATATTCAACCAGGTTGGTGTTCAGGTGTAAGGAGCACAGAAAGTTACTGTCCGGGATGCGTGGCCTCTGGAAAACAACTGCCTCAAAATTTTTGACCTCCAAGAGATAATAACGAAGAGGAACACAAGGATGGAGACATCAGGGTAGAAAGCTCAGAGCTGAGCGCCGAGAGGAGAGTTAAGTTGTAATGAGTATAGTAACAGATTTAAACTTAACAGAAAAACAAAACAAAACAGTAAACGAGATGATCTGTGCCCTTGAAAAGAGCCAAGATGGAATACTGTAGGGAAATCAGCGAGGCAGGAGGAACGTTCCCGGGTGGCAGGCGTGATCGAGGGAGAGTAGTAGTACCCGGGGGGAAGCAGTCAGTCCTGTTACTAATATTCCATAAAGCGGAATTGAAAGTTATTGTTCTGTTTTCTCCCTCTGATGATTACATGTGTAAGATGTACGTGTAAGATTCTATGTGTAAGAAATATGCGTAAGATTTTTTTAAAACCTTAAAGTAACCACTGACCATTAAAAATAGGGGCCGGGCATGGTGGCTCATGCCTGTAATCTCAAAAGAAATTCCAAATTCATTAAGGAATAAATTTCAAAAAAAAAATCAAACCACAGAACAACTAGATGAATACGTAATATAACAGACAACCTATAAAAACACTGGGGGAAAAAGCTGTCAACTTAGAATGATTGAAAAGCAAACGAAACAGAAAATAAGCAGGACAGGTTTCACTGCACAAAAATAGAAAATTTCTTTTTGTTAAAAAAATCTTAAAGTCAAATAATATACTGGAAGAAACAAAATGCAACCAATATGTTAGATAAATGATGTTCTTTCTGTGTGAAGAGTATATAAAAATAAATAATATCAAGATAAACAAGCAAAGGACAAAGGCAGCATCCAGAAAAGGATTTGTGAAGAGATAAACTTTTTGCTTACCAAATTTAACAGAGAAGCTGGCAAAGTTTCTGTGAAACAGCCCCTGATGTGCTGGTGATCGTACAAATTGGTACACAACCTTTGGGATTTGGTAACTTAAGTTATAAGTCATAAAAATTGTATTAGTCTTTCATCCCGTGGTTCTGGTAATTTATCTCAAATAAATTATTCAAAAGAAAGAAAAAGTGTGTACAGAAATATGTCCACTTTGGCATTTTTTCAGACAAAAAATACATACACATTTAAATTCCAACAAGAGGTTAATTTCACTATGGTAAATTTACTCAATGGAAAATTTTTCTGCCTGACTGGCATGTTTATGCTGACTATGTTGAGTGAAAAAAGAACCACAAACTTTAGAATTATGCATTCAGAGTGATTTCAACTATGATTAAAAAAAAACCCATGCATAGAAAAAAAAAAAAACCTAGAAAAAAATTTCCATATGCCAAACAGTGGTTGCATTCTAGCAGTTAGATGGTGGGTGATTTTTAAATCTTTTATCTTTATCTCTCTTTTTTTGATGTATTTTTCTAATTAATTATAATATGAAAACAACTTAAGATTTTTTTTAAAGATTATATTAAATGCTGGGGGGAAAAAAGGAGACCAACAAGAATAGCTTTTGATTTTCCCTTATGTGTTGGGGAAGGAAAGTGCGGTCTGGATGCGTGTTTAAGGCACAGCAGGACTCAAGGTTTACGCAGAATTGAAAAAAACGCATTGAACTAACCAAGGCTC